GGTCTTTTCTGGCCGCGATTTTGGGGATGTCACAAAGGCTAGGACCCAACACAATACGCTACAACCTAGAAAAGGGATTCCGTAATCTAGTTGCAGAATATTTGAAGGTAAGTGAATGACGATTCACTAATTTCCACCATGAAAAACGAAAAAGAAATTTAAGTTTTAAATCTATGAAAACTCCTAGATCCTTTGAGATTCATTGAACATTTCAATGGCATGTTTAAATCTCGATATGCCCCTCTTGTTTGTGACTGGGATGCCGAGGATCACAAAGCGGGTGTGAATAACCATGCAAACTTACATGGTGCCCTCACACGTTACAATCACCTATTCGATGTGCCGGTAAACCACACACGCTCCACCGAACTATGACAAACATTGAGTCACCCTTTGCTACCTTTGCTTAGATCCATTTAGTGTGCCGGTAAACCACACACGCTCCACTAACGTCTTCGCAAGGGCACAAAGTGTAATTTCATGGAATTGCATCAATTCACTTTTGCCTAAGTAACTAAGATTGGAATTTGAAAAACATTTAGTTACTTTGTATTTCATTATACTTATAATGGAAGGTTTCGTCCTATCCTACCCGTTCGGCTAACGACCTCCACTAGTCAAGAGTGCGGTGGGTAAGAATGGATACCCATTCAATCGCCATATTATAGGCAATTTCCTTAAACACCCCTTATAGACCAGCTTCGTGAATGAGGCCTACTAACGGTAAGACTGACTTTTACTCATACATATATATAATGTTAGACTTTTAATGTTATATATAGTTTAGGGTGCATTTTACACTTTTAAAATATTAGGTGGTTAACTTTAACAATTACACTTTTAATTCATTTAAATGGTTAACCTTGACTTTTATGGATTTATTAAATCTCTTTTAATTATACTCCTTAATTAATTAATAAAACCATAACAGTGTATTTGAACTTTTCAAAACATTACTAGAGTTTTAGAATTTAACATTCCTAATTAACTTTTAATCAACTTTTAAATTCCAAAAGTTGAGGGCAAGTTTTGAAACATTTCAAAAACATTAGGGTTTAGAATTTAAATATACATCAAAATTAAACTATTTAATCAAAATTTAAATTCCAAAACTTGAGGGTAAGTTTTTTGAACATTTTTCAAAACATTAGGGTTTCAACTATTTAAATTTCAAAACTACAAAACTTTTGGGTTCAAATTTAAACTATAAAACCTAAAGGGCAAAATATGAAACTTTTCATAACAACAAGGATCAAATAATTCAAATTAACATTTAATCACATAATTATCCATATTTGATTTGTTTAATGATTTCTTGCAAAACAATTTATCAATTTACTCAAAATAATTAATCAATTATCTTATAAGGAAACAATTATCTTATTAATTGATAAATATCTTCATTTAGATCAAAAATATAGTCAAATATATCATATAATCGGATTAATATTGATCTAACATGATAAGGTAACTATCCATATGCAAAAACAGCAAGAAATCCCGAGATAAGCACTATCTGACGAGTTGACTCGTCGAGTCACCCTGGACTCGGCGAGTTCAGCTATGGACTCGGCGAGTCCAGCCTCTAGAACACCAAAAATTGAATTTTTTTAGATATACAACGCATCAATACAATTGAAACCATCCTAGGTTTTGATACCACTGATGGGTTTTGGTCATAAGACATCCTATGTGCTCATACAAACCCTAATGCTTGGATCTAGGTTTCTCTATTATACATGCTTTGACTCCAAGACTATAAACCCTAATTCTAGCATATGAAAATCGATATTAACATATAATTAGGTTTAAGATGTTACCTTGATTGTTATGTAGCAATAACAATCTCAAATCTCCTTGTATTGACTTTGGAATGCTTAGAGTCACAAGTGTCACTCCTCTAATGGCTTACAAACACCAAGAGCAAATGGAGAAGGTATAAAGAGAGAGGAGAGAGGTAGGAATTCGTCCTTAGGACTTCTTGGGAAGGCTTAGACGAATTCATGAGCCTTAGGGGGTTTATATAGGTGTAAAGATTAGGGTTTTAGTCCTTATCCTTATATAGTTGCTTGCCCACCAAGTAACCATAAGATAAGTCTTAGAAACCCTTATCCTAGTCGAATTCTAAGGCATTATCTCCTTAAATTCGTTCACCCTATATTTAAGATAATCCTTACCTTATTTTGTAACTATCACATAATTACAAATCAGCCCCTCTAGTTTAATTAATTACACCTGATCACACAATTAATTCCTAATTAATTATTGACCAATATTAATTAAACAAATATGATTTATCCTTTAATATATTATTCTTATAACATATTAATAAATCATAATAACCTCTCTCTCTTTATTTATTTCTCCAATCAAGTTGCTTTGGTGAAGGCAACCCAAAAGGACCATGCACCATCGGGTCAAGTACATACCAAAATAGTTATGAACTTAGACACTAATCCAATATTTTTATCGTTATGCTACTAATAACGAGATCTTCGATTCTCGTTTAGGTTGTGTTGGCTAAAAACCGCTCGATCTAATATTCGAACTTCGGACTGTACACTGTTAATCTGAAACTTCGAAAAATCACAACTTCCTCATACGAAGTCGGATTTGGGCGTTCTTTTTATGGACGCTTTCAGTTTAATGTATTCTACGAATTTCGTTTAGATTGCTAAGGCTAAATCTCGCTCTATCGTAAATTCACTATTTACGTTTCCCGGTATTGTGCCGATTCCGTCGCGAAACTTCAACGGGTCATAACTTCTTTGTTATACTTCGGATTTCGGCGGTCTTTATATGTATGGAACCTTGTAACATATACTAAAACTTGGTTAAGATTATTTATTCTAAATGTTATTTTACCGAAAAGTCATTTTCAACACTTATTGCCTCTAAGTTGACTAGCCCGGATCTACGGGCGTTACAATAAATATATTAAATAATAACATGATTTTGAACTGTCAAACCTAAGCAACATATCACGTTTTTTGAGATGTCATAACATTTTTATTTTTAACATGTAAAATTATTCTAAAAATAATTATTTTTTACCTAAAAGATAGTTTATTTTACCCCAAAAAAAGCATCCCGAAATCAATCGAGGACAAAGGTAATCCAAAGATTCATGGTAGGGGGCGAGGGTGGGGAGGCTGGAGATTTTAAGGGCGAGGGAACAAAAAAATTTCGAGGGTGAAGGTGGGGATACAATCCTTGTCTTGTTTGGCCTTGCTGACATTATATTCGCATGTTATGTAGAATAATATAAATATGTAATCACAATAATTTTAATTATATGTTTTTAAGAATGATTTTTATTAAAATAATAATTTTTATATAAATCGATATAAAACATTTTAATTAATTATTTTATTTATTTTGAATGATATGATAAACTAAACAATATTTCTTATTAATCACATTATCTTGATGGTCTCTATGTTTAGGTTGTATACAAATAGAATTAAATATAATTTCTAAATGGTCATATTTCTTTCATGCTTCAATAATTTTATAGGTTTTGTTTTGTTTCGAGCCATACAATAAATATCTTAATTTGAGTTATACATAACTCTAAGTCAGATTGGGTTTCGTGTGTATGTATGAGTTGAAATTAGACAACTGAAATATCATTTTGTTGTCGATTCTCACGACTTTGATATTATTAGTAAAACATATACCTTCTGGTCACGAGGCTTGAAAAGTAGTGATCGACTAATACATTTTGGCCTACCAAAAACCCTAGACCGGTTCATGTTTGGTATTATTATTTTAGTTTGTTGCCTATTATTACCCTTAGTGGAATGATTGAAAATTTAGTTTAACAAGACATTGACATTTTATTTCACTATTTATTTTCTGTGAGTGAGACCTAAATATATTTCAAAGTTTTGAGAACACGGATTTAAACTTATAGTTTTTTTGCTGCCATGCCCTTTAATAGTTTTTTGTATTGATTATGCTCATATTTTGTTGCTATGAACTTGTGTATAGCCATATATATGACTCCCAATGTTGATTTTGGCTCCAGTGATGAACTTAACAAGATAAACCATTTGAGGTATACGTCTCATGTGGTCTCATTTTTTGTGAATACATACACTATCATCATAGTTGTTTACAGAAAATAGGATCTATTCAGTTATGAATTAAGACACAGGCGCAGAGTGAAGGATGTGTATCCTATTGAAGCCAAAGCAAGAAGTAGCTAAAAGAGTTGCTCAAATCGTCCATGAACATAATATGAATTATTTATATATCATGATTGCCATTATATTTCTTCTTTGTTTTCACCACATTTGCATGTGTGGAAATGATAGACATTCATAAATTTACGTCCATTTTGTATTTGATTGATATTTTTATTCCTTTATGTACCCGAGAACCCAAAAAACTAAAAGCTAATCATGTTTAACACAAAATATCGAAAATCTGAACTGAAAAAATCCAAACAGAATAATATCCGTAGCTAATATTGGTATTCTTTTGGTTTCGTTATGGTTTTAGGCAAAAACAGAAACTGAACATGACAAAAAATACAAAGTCTAACACAAACCAAACAACTTTTAACATTCATATAATCAACATTTTCTTAGATACGTTTCACTGGCTAAGTTTAACATATCATACATTCAATCAAGGAATAAAATACCACATAATTCGCTTTTCGACTCCTACACATTACAATTTGGACTCACACTATGGAAAGGTATGTGATTTAAATATTAGTTTGGCTAATCAACCAAACAAGACCTTCACCTTCCACTTGCTCCAATACGATAAGAAAACCATTACATATACCAAACTATCATCATATGCCTACATGTTGGCTCGTTTACCTTTATTTTTTTAAAAGAAAAAGAAGCGATTTTTCTTTTTGGATCCTTACTAAATTCCACATTTAATCGTTACTTTTGTAAAAAAACATGTCAAATTTTAGTTATATTTGAATTTTTAAATGTTTTGTAATTTTTATATATAATAATTAGTTAAACATATCCTCATGTCTTAGATAATGGTCGACCCGTTGACCAAGTATAAATCTCAGGAGGAGGGAGAGCCGTGTTAGAAAGCAAGCTTTGTGGGTTCCCATAAACATCAGGAACACCAATAACACGATGGTGGTGGTGGTGATCGTGTGCAGTTGGGGCAACAACTACCTCCTCTTTGTCCATCGGCAACCTATCAAAAGTTGCATTCATAAAAGTAGCCGCCATGATGACAACCGGTCCCGATGCCATAAGTGGACCTGCAATGGCCCCACCCACCACCTGGCCCTGCGGACCAACTAAGTAAATAGCCAACCCTGCTACACCGGGCGGGGCTGGCGGTGGCAACACCGAACCAATCAACGATAAAATCTCAAAACGTCCATGAAGAGTGACAACTGGTCCGTTACCCGGACCAGCCGGTGATGGGGACGGTTGTCTCAGCATCACATTGCTGACAAAGCCAGCTGCACTCAACACCCAAATCCCTTGTTGCTTCCTCCTAGCAAAAGTGGCTAAGCTTTCAACAACATCACACCCCGGGCTCACCTCCATGGCATGGGCCCGCAACGTGTTAGCACTGTCTCGCGTTATGATGATGGGCGGTTTCGGCTTGTTTTTTGACCCGGCGGGTCGCCCTCGCGGCCTTCTAACTGCATGTTCACCGGTTTTTGTAATTGCACTAAGGTCACCACCGCCAGCCATACTTGATTATTTTCCCACTTTGTGTTAAGTTTAACCAATGTCACGTTTATGTAGGGAGAATGTTGTCGATATAATTATGTCGAAAAATCAAAAGAATGACTTATGATTAGGAGATTGTTAAGTAACACCACACCAACCCTATATTTTTATAAATCTTAATTTCCTAATCCTCAACTACCACTACCTGGTACGGGGTAGTAAAGTAATTTCATAAAACAATCGATACTCATGAATTACATTTCAATTTTCAAGAGAAAAACCAAAGAGAAAGAAATTAAACCAATCTGTTTACTTACGAGTGACGACTAATGTTCAATAAAAAAACAGATTTGAATTTTGAAACTATGTTCTCCTAGGCAGCTCGTATTTTACGATCATGGAAGAAATCTTTTGTAATAGTTTGGTGGCGTCGCGGTTATCGGAAGAACTGGGGCAGGTCCACTCCTGGTAACGGTGGAGGCTGCCGGTGAAATCGGTAAAAAGGCCGTCGACTCCAATGGTGTTTATCCAGTAATCGTATTCAATATACGGATCTTCGGAGAAATTGAAATGCAAGTACTTGTTTTCGTTGCGAAATGTGTATGGGTGCACCTGTGATTACATTGAAGACGTTAAATTTGACTTTTTCGAAATCAAACCGTTTTTTCTGCAAACATAAACCCTAAAAACAACGTACCTGTAGATTATATGCGTGTGCTCTATCCACGAGATCAGTCGGCGTTTCGATGTAGTTATCTATCACGGGAACAATCGTATCCTTCCATGGGCCAATTCCGACGACAAATTCCCTGATATAGTTGAAATAACGATCGGAAGTGATTTCCTGATACGTCTGAAAATGAAAACAATAGAAAACCGGGTTCATGATTCATGATTCATTCTAGAGATGCACTAATACCGGGTCGGGTCAATGGTCAAACATGGATCGGTTTACCTGATTTGTGTCCTGGGTTCTTACGTCCACGTCATCAATGAGAAAAATCTTTGGTAGATCGGTTTTGTTGTGGATATGAACAAGTGATGATGGGGCAAACGACTGAATAAAACAAGGCTGTTTAAGCCATTCTTTTGACATATAAGAACCTTTATATCCATACTTCTTAAGAATTTCCACAAAAACATCTTCAAATCTTTTCCCTTTTGGCCATTTCACCTGTTAAAAAAAAAATCAAAGTATTAACTTTAATTTCATGAACCCAATGTAATGTTTCAAGATTAAAAATTAAAAAAATAATTAAGAATTTATATATAAACTCACATGTTGGTTCATCAAAACAGGGTTTTTAATTTCAGGATATATTCCAACAACCCTCGGTGCATTTATTGCAATTTGAATGTACTCTTCGAAGGTTATAATGGGAAACTTACCTGTTTATGGGCATAACACAATGATATGTTAGAATAAAAACTATATTTTTAAAGATTTTTGATTAAAAAAATAAAGGTAGCGAACCATTATATTGCTGATCACGAAATGAAAACCTCTGTTTTGCCCTCAATGTTTTTAGTTCTTCTAATGTAAAATCAACTGCAAACACTCAAATAATTAGCATCCTACTTTATGTGTTATAGCATCCTACTTTCATTTCTTTTTATTATACTAAAAAAATCAATGAAAGTAGGTTGCTAATTTTAAGATAAAAATTGATGTTTTAAGGAAACATACATATGAACAATCCAGTCATGTTAGCTCCTTCAACTTCATAGGTTCTTTTTCTATCTGCAAACTGTATATGATCTAAAACATCGGTTGTGTCATCAAGAATAACATCATGGTGACACATAAGAACACCATCTTTGCTAACTAAAATATCTGTTTCTATGAAGTCTGTTCCTTCTTCAATTGCCCTCTGTAGGAAACAAAATTACCCAAAACTTATAATATAAAATTGTAGTTAAAACTATATTTTTAACATGTATGCTATAAAACATGTACCAAGTAAGAAGGAGCAGTTTCTTCTGGGAGTTCTCCATTTGAACCCCGATGTGCAACGTTAAATGGACGAAAAGTTTGTAGGGGCATTTTCGTCTTTTCATCGTGACTTGGAAGCGGGTAGAGTGGCCTTGAAGAACATCCGATAAAGAGTAGCAGAAAAGTAATGATGGCACAACCTGGCAGAGATTTTTACCAATTTAAAACATTAGTTTGGATTTTGGAAGAAGGTAAACTACGATTTTTAGGTCAAATTTCAGGATTTGCGAACAGATTTATTCCTAAAATAGTAGATTTGACCTAAATGTTAAAATAGTCTGGATATTAATTACTACAGTTTCTTGCCCTTTTTTTGTATAAAAATCTGATTGTTTTGTAGCTAAGGAAGCAAAAACATCATAATCAATCACTTTTACCCAAATGCTCAAAAGTCAAAACTGATTTAGTGTTACGAACAGTTGAAAAAGCACGATTAAATGCACATCACACATTAATTCTTCGGTTTAAAGTTCTTTAACATTTCAACGTTTTGCAGAAAAATAATATGAAATTTCCTAAAAGAACAAACAAAAAATTTGATCCAAAACTGCATATTTTATTGAAAAGTTGTTGCAGTTATTAATAATTAAGAAACAAACCAGAGCATGAGAAGCAAAACTTACTAGCATTACTTGAAAACAAAACTTGATTAAACAATACTCACTCGAGTTTTGAAGTCAAACCAAACACCAATTTTTTCTACATTTACCATTAATTCTTCGGTTCAATCAATCATCATATCCTTCTAAAAGATTTCACAAAACGTTATCGATTTTGGACTTAAATTCCAGCTATTTTGACCATAAAGTGTGTGTTTATGAACAATCTACGACCAGCGTAGTTCGTAAACATCGAAAAACTTCAAGATTTCCACAAAGCCAAGCCAAACCAAACCGATAAACTCAATGAATAAAAACAGAGATTAGAGATATAAACCTTGGAACAGGAAGTTTAAATTAGAAGCTTACTGGATGAATTCATGTTGATTAGGAGGTGCTCCTTCCACTCTGATTCGTTATGATGATGTTCTTGATCTGTATCCCCCAAAAAATTGCGATCTTCTTGGGGGGTTTCGTTGTTTGATTCGCTTACAAGATGAACAGAGGTTTTATAGAGATTGTGCCTCGGATCAACCCCTATTCCATGCCGAGTTTACCTGAAATTTGAATTATCATTTGTTTGGATTCGGATATTCTCCAAAGTCCAAAGCATTATTGAGAAATCTTGAAATATTATTATTTGGTCCTTTAGATATTTTTACAAGGCTAAATACAAAACGTACATTACCTTTATAATAAACATATTAACGTTATCTCTAGTCTTCTAAAAAAACGATTTTCTTTTTTGGTACAATATACAAAAAGACTGAAAGAGTATGATGATTATAAATGTTGGGATTAAATCGGTTTTAAATAGTAACCAAACAAGTATTATATACTCCAGCTCTTGATTTTAATATTTTAAAATTCAACTCCTGTCTGATTTTGTACGTCACATAAGTCTTTATATCATTTTACATAGTCTATCTCAAAATTAGTTGGATATTTTAACTTATTAAATTATTGAATGGTATTTTAATGTTTTGGGTAAATTACATTTTTTGCCCATGAACTTTGTAGGAAGTTACATATATCGACACCGTAGAGAATTTGTAACGTATGTTTGCCTATATAGATGCCTCTAAATATTAAACTTGTCATTTTTCCAACTTCTTTTATAATCCTTTGCAACTTACACTTCTCCCACCTTTGATGACTTTCCTCCTTTTTTGCACTATCATTTCCAATCCAACCACTACGCCCATCATAAATTTGATATTCTTGTAATTCATCCAAACTCATTAAACATCATCATCAACTTCATAAGTTGATCGAACAATGATTCCATCATACATTATCTAATAAAATATTCTAAACTGTCATACCTCCAAACCGGAACGGCGGAAACGTTTGGGGACGGAGGACGTCATGTACAGTATCACAACAATTGCATCATAGTAATCAAAATTAACACAACCATTACATTGAATAATTAAGGTATTTGCATATGTTCGATACATAGTTTGTATGACATCAAAATGTATAACGAAAGTATAAAAGATGCGACTCTAAAGCTCCGTCTTCTCAAAACTTGCGGGTGTACCCGTCTGCCGGTTCCCCGAGAATACAAGTGGTTTTGAAAGTGTATCAACATTTAATTTGATGAGTTCATAAGAATGTTTTTGTAACGAAATCTTGTCCTTGAATCTTTGAAAAAGTCATCCAATATTTTCTTTAGTAGTGAAAAGTAGTCTTAAACCTTAAGATCAAAATGTACGTTAGTTACTATATTCTGTATTTGTATATCGTAATAGTGTTTGATAAGAACCCTTGTTTGAATATCTTTGTATGAATACCTGGATACCACCAGCTATATTGTATAGTATTGTCTTGTATGAAAACTTTTGTATAAAATCCCTAGATACCACCAGTAATTTATTGTAACGTCCCCGTTTCTGGTATGTTATTTAATGTTTATTTTTCCAAGTTTTTCAAGAAGGACTCGACGAGTCTGTTGCCTAGAGACGGGATTTCGAGCACGTGAAAGTGGGCGACTTGACGAGTCCATATCCTGGACTCGGCGAGTCCGCCGGTCTGGAAGAAACCCTAGATCCACGGGTTTTGCACCCTATATAATCCCCCTTATGCACCCAATCTTGCCTCCCTCACCCTCAGAACGTTTCATAGCAACACCATAACCTATCTTGAGTGTTTTTGGGTATTTTTGTGTAAAGAGTGAAGATTGGAAGAGAAGAGGAAGGCTAGATCCAAAGGAGAAGAAGGGAATCAAGTTCTCGCATCCATTTCAGAGGCATTTGAGGTATTAATCGGGCTCTTTCTATTCCTTGGTTGTTTCTCTTTAGAAATCTCATTTAGGTTACCTTTTTTTGCCTATTTATGAGCTTAATCTAGTTAAGGAGCTTGTGTAGTGGTATAACTTTCAGATCTAATCATATTTCTGTCCCAAAACCCAGATCTAATACCTTTATGAACCTTGTTGCATATAAACCATAGATCTAACCTTATTCATGCATTTTAAGCCTATAAACCTCTTTAGGAGTATATGTGCACGTAAAAATGGAACCTTTACGTGCAAACCAAGCCTTAGGAGCCCAGATCTATCAATTGGATGCGTTGGTTTTGAGCAGAATCTTCTAAATAGTAATTGCATGCATGCAACTCGGCGAGTCGAGTCACGAGACTAAGACAATCTTCATACCTCAAGATCAGACTCGACGAGTTGATCATACAACTCAGCGGGTCTCAGCCAGAGTGTTCATGCGTTGAAGGAGGACTCGACGAGTTGTTCATACAACTCGGCAAGTCGGATGCAGATTGACTGAGTGATAGCATTGAAGAGGAACTCGTCGAGTCTATGCCAAACTTGACGAGTAGTAGCGAGCAGAAGCAAGGAAGTAAGGGTGAGGACTTGACGAGTTGGTGACCCAACTCGACGAGTCAGGTCAACCGTATTTTGAATTTGACCAATAGGATTGACTTTGATCAGGGGTAAAATAGTCATTTTACCCTCAATATAGTTATCAGTGTTTGATTCTGTGTGTTATGGAAATGGTAGCCGGGGAGATACTGGAGCAGCAACAGACAGTTTCCAGAGCAGTTCATTTACCAGCCAGTTTACGAGGTGAGTTTCCTTCCAGTAGGAACGGGTCTAAGGCCACAATGCCGGCCCGTTTAGCTAGTAGTAGTTTCTGGATTTCGGTCCGATGCAGTTTTTAGTATGTTTGATGCCTTCGTGGCTCAGACAGGATTTATGTGTTATGTGTTATGGGTTACGACCCGATGTAGTATGCAGTTTATGTGTTCATGCTAGTTGATATGTTTATGCCATGCTATGTTATGCCCAGTTTCCGGACTTCGATCCGATGCAGTTAGTTCCGGACTTCGGTCCGATGCAGGGGACAAGGTCCCAATCAGTTCCAAACTTCGGTCTGATGCAGTGGGCAAGGCCCAGTATATGTTTATATGTTATTGTATGGTATGTGGTAGTTTGGGGGAGCTCACTAAGCTTTGTGCTTACAGTTTTAGTTTTGGTTTCAGGTACTTCCGCAAGTAAAGGGAAGAGCTCGGGATGATGACATCGCACACACCACAGCTTCAGCTTTATTCATGGGAGTTTTGTTCAGATACTTAGATGTGATTTGATACAATTTTTGATATTATGGCTTTTAAGATATCCAACGTATGGTTTTATTATATGGAATTCAGTGTTATGACTTTTATTATTATTTAAAAACAAAATTTTTGGGTCGTATTTTTGGGATGTTTCAAGTTGGTATCAGAGCCTTGGTTTGAGGGATTCTGTAACGACCCATGATTTAAGACCAAAAATTTCTTTAATAAATCATTACTTAAAGTAACATCATCATTCCAAAACATAATATGAGTATAAGTTTTCAAAACATATGTTCGTTATCAGAGTAAACATTCCCAGGCTGTCTAATCTATGGTGTGTGCCATGCGATCACCCCGAGCTCTTTCCTCCGCTACCGGAAGTACCTGAAACCAAAACTGAAAACCGTAAGCACGAAGCTTAGTGAGTTCCCCACCCTACCACATACCATGCATAACCACATACTGCACATACTGGGCCACGCCCCCTATCTTGGGCCTCGCCCCCTACCTCGGGCCTCGCCCGCTACAACGGCCCCGCCGCTCCAGGCCCCGCCTGGCTTCGAGCCCCGCTCGGATACAGATCTGTTTTACTTAGGCCTCGCCTGTCACAGGGCCTCGCCCGTCAACAAATAATAACACATAAACATTTCATAACACATAACTAACACATGCAACTGGTTCTGTCCTAAGGCCTCGCCTTTCCTGGGCCTCGCCCATGTCCTGCTACTGAGGAGTCATGGAACCCCATCCATGCTCCTAATGGTAGTGAGGTACGGGCCTAGCCCACTCTCACTCCTGTTCTAATTCGGGCCTCGCCCCTAATCTGCTACTAGTGAGATATGGAACCCCATCCACACTCTGCTATTGGTGAGATACGGGACCTCGCCCACACTCACCTCCCTACCAGGTACATACATGTATCACACAGACAACAAGTATAAACTATCATATATAAACAATTCCTTGGGCGCCCGCCCGCTATTACTGGACCTCGTACTGCAAACAATGCTAGCATACTGTGCCTAGGGCTAACCCCCAGGTCTTCTACTCATAACTACATGGGCCGGCATTGTGGCCTTAGACCCATTCACACAAAGGGAAACTCACCTGAACTGGCTGAACTTGCTGATGATCTCACTAGCTGCTTCCCGACAACTCACGGAACTCCTGCTCCCCTTGCTCCCCGAACTACCAATATCAATGCAACACTGAGTCTAACTGACCCCCGAAAGACAATCAAGTCCACCCTGGTCCAAAGTCAAAGTCCTGGTCAAAGTCAACCTTCCAGGTCAACCCTACTCGCCGAGTCACCCTACTGACTCGCCGAGTTCAAAATGATCAGATTCCTTTCATTCGCGACTCGACTCGCCGAGTCAGTCCATGACTCGCCGAGTCTACCGATTTCTGAGTCCAGACCTGTTCAACTCACTGAGTCTCCACCCGACTCACTGATTCGAGTCACAACTCGAAGGGTTTGGGGTTTCGCGACCTGACTCGCCGAGTCCAAGAACAGACTCGCCGAGTCCAAGGCAATCTTCATACGACTCGACGAGTTGTTCATCCCACTCGTCGAGTTTCTCCAAAACTTCATGCTACTCGCCGAGTCCACTCAAAGGACTCGTCGAGTCCCTTCAGATCTCCTTACATGCAGAGGATTTTTGAGTCATGCATGGACTCCAAACTATAGATCCACCCTTCCCAAGCCTATTCCACACGTAAAGTTGCAAACTTTACGTGTAGAGAAGGAGATCTAGGCAAGATACGCCATTAACTAGGGTGTAAGGCCAAGGGACTTCAAAATCGACTCAATGGCTGATACTTTATGCTTCTCCAGGCCCTAAAACACTTGAATCTGAAGTAGCAACTCCAGATCCGGCTTCTAACCCAAAATAATAACATTATGGCAAAAGAGCCCCAACAACCACACATAGATCTAGGTGCAAAAAGGGTCCAGGAACTAGTTTATTACCTCCAAGTGCTCAGAATGAACTCACAATCCCAGATCTATAGCTCCTTCTTGCTCCTCCAAGTTCCTTCTTCCTTTTCCAAGCTTTAATGCACCTTCCAAGGCTCAACTAGGAGATATGACGGCTAGGGTTTGATATCCAGGGCTAAAGAGGCAGTAAGGAA